CCGCCTCTCCACCGGCATGCGGCGGCTCCGCCGCGGGCGCGGGCGCCGCGGCCCCGGAGGCGGCGGCTCCGGAGGCAGAGGGCGGCCGGGGCACGGATTCTGGCGTGCCGGGGGCGGCGGCGGCGGGCGCGCTGGGGGCGGCGGCGGGGGCCGCAGCGGCGGCGCTCGTTGCTCCAGCGCCCTCGCTGCCGGGCCGGCGGCCGGGACGGCTGCTGGGGGCGCCTGGTGCCGCGGCCGCGTGCGCTGACAGCGGCTTGCTGGCCGGGCTCAGCGCAGCGCCGGTGTCGAGGAGCGTTCCCTCAGCCACCTGCTGCTCCTGCTGCTCTTGCTCCTGCTCTCGCTCCTGCTCCTGCTCCTGCTGCCGCCCCTGCTGCTCTTGCTCCTGCTCCTGCTCCTGCTGTCGCCCCTGCTGCTGTCCCTGCTGCTGCTGTTGCTGTCTCTGCTGCTGCTGTTGCTGTCTCTGCTGCCGCCCCGGCTGCTGTTGTTGCTGCTGCTGCTGCTGCTGCTGCTGCTGCTGCTGCTGCTGGCCTTGCCGCACCTGCTGTCCCTGCTGCTCCCGGTGCTGCTGCGCCTTCTGCGGTGACGCAGCCCGCGCGGGCGGGGGCGGCACCGCGGGCACTTTGGGGGAGTCGCGGCGCCCGGCCGCCGCAAGCAGCGTGTCGCGAACTGGCGCCTGCTGCGCCCCCTTCAGGTAGCTGGCCGGCGGCCCATCCCCAGACCCAGGGCTCCCCGCCGCCGCCAACCCACGCGCCTCCGCGGCCGAAGCCCCCTGCTCTCGCCGCTGCGATGCGGCGGCGGCGGCGGCGGCGGCGCCTCCGCCCGGCCGTTCCACATGCACGGCCGCCACCTCAGCCTGCTCCTCCGTCCGCCCTTCCCCACCCCCGACAGCGGCGCCACCAACACCCCCGCCAGCGCCCTCCGCCCCGCCGCGGGCGCCATCCTCGTCAGCATCCTCGTCAGCATGCTCAACAGCGTCCTCATCATCGCTGCTGTCGAGGTAGCGCCCGACGCTCTGTAGCGGCACGCTCTTTGACGCGAGGCCCCGCGACTCCCGCCGACCGCCTCCGAGCCCGCCCTCCACGCTGCCCAGAGCCCGCGCCGCAGCCGCGCGCGGGGACGCCGGAGCGCTACCGCCGCCGCCGCCGCCGCCGCCGCCCTCCCCGGCCGATGCGCTCGACTCCATGTCGCCCGGCGCGCTCGAGCGCTGCAGCGGCTGCGGCTGCGGCTGCTGCCGCTCCGCGTCGCCCGCCGGGCCGGCGGCCTCCGCGGCGGCTTCCTGCGCGGGCTCGCCGGCGGCGCCCTGCACCCTGATGCGCGCGCGTACCCAGCGGCGGCGCCGCACCCACGTCTTCATGGTGGCCTTGCCCTGGCCGGGCTGCGGCGGCCACGTAAAGTAGCTGGCGGTTGGGGGATGGTTTGGTGGGGGGGCAGGGAGGTTGGGGGCAGTTGGGGGATGTTGAGAGGCCGTTGTTGTGCAGAATCAGAGCCGGGTGATTTGACAGTGGGGGGCGTTTGGGGGGGGGGGTGTAGGGGAAGCCAATTAAGAGGCAGGTGGGACAGCCCTTCTGTTTGGGTGGAGGAATGGTGGTGTGGTGATGGATGCGGGGTGGGGCCTGCACCGAAGCGCCAGGGGCGTGCGCGACGGTGACGCATGCAGCACTTGTCCAAGCAGCGGCCCTCCCTCCTCTGGAGGCGGCAAGCCAACCAATCCCAGCCTGTCGAGCACGCCAGAAACGGAACCCCGCCGCGGGTATAGTCAGTGCGGCCCAATCGGGCCCCTGGAAACTTCAACAGAACCGCCGAGAGTGAGCACGTCCCCCGACAACCCGGTCAACCGCCGTGACCGCCAACCGCGCCCCACCTGAAATCGACCGAATAGCTCCAACCCTCCGCGTCCACCCCGTCCTCCTCGGCCCCCGTCATGTCCACATGCCACTCGTCCTCGGCCCACTCCCAGCCGGCGGGCAGCCGCGGCACCACGCTCTCGAAGAGCATGCTCATGGGCCCGCCGGGGCGCCCCCAGCGGTCCCCCCAGTGGCCGACGCGGTCGCTGGGCAGGAAGTGGCCCGGCCAGGAGTGGCCCCAGCCGCGGAACGGCTGCACGCGCTCGTGCTCATACACCTGGGGGGGAGGCGAGCGGGGGGGGCGTGTTGCAGATTATGCCAGCAGCCCGCGCACTGCTGCCAAAGGTCTGCCAAGCCTGCCGTTGAGGGCCCGGCATAGGGGCTGAGGGGCCATGGAGCCCGAACCGCATGCCACACCGACCGTGATGAGATGGCCGGCAGTACTGCAGCCTCCGCCTCTTGCCAGGTGGCTTGCAAACGGAGCCACCATTCACCCGATGAGACAAGAATACTTGAGCGCATGCGCATGTGTGCGCGTGCATGCCTGGAACGCGAAAGCATGCACGTCAATGCGTGTGCATGCATGTGCTATTCACGCGCACGCCCGCGCGCCCGCACCTCCGAGAACGCCTCGTCAGCGGGCTCGTCGCCGTCGTCCACAGTGTCGGGCTCCGGCCCTGGCACCGCAAACATGCCGCTGCTCGCGTTGACCAGCCCCGCGCCCAGCGTGCCAAGCGTGCCCAGCGCGTTGATGCCGCCGCCCAGCGGGGAGCCGCGCAGCCAGTCCAAGCCGACCCCCGCGGGCAGCGACGCGGCCAGCGCGCCGCCGCCGCCACCATTGGTGTTCGCAGCGGTGGCGGCGGCGCCGCCGGGGGACTTGGAGGGGGAGGCGCTGCGCGGCGGGGTCCCGGGCCCGGCGCCGGCCGGCCGCGGCGGCGCGGCGCGCGGGGCGGCGGCCGGGGAGGGTGCAGTGGGGGCGGCAGCGGCGCCAGGGGAGGCGGCGGCGGCAGGGGGGCCGGCGGCGCCGGCTTGGGCGTAGTCCTCTATCAAGGTGAACCCTGAGGGGTCCAGCGATGCCGAAAACGACACCGACTGCCTGTGCGTCGGGGTCCCGCCGCCGCCGCCGCCGTTCGCGCCGCCGCCGCCCTGCTGCTGCTGCTGCTGCTGCGGGGAGGGGAACCGCGCGGGCTCGGCGGCCGGCCGCAGCCACGCGCCAGACACGAAGCTCCTCAGGCCCTCTGATGACGACTGGACCGAATCCATCACGTTCCAGAGCCCAAGCGTGCTGCCCAAAGATGCCGACAGCTGCTTAAAAGCATCCTCCCCACCCCCGGCCCCGCTCCTGGCCGGCGCGGCGAGCGGCGCGCTCGGCGCGCGCGCCACCGGCGACGCGCTCGCCGCGCGGCCGGCGCC